GGGAATGTCGACAAGAAGTAATCTCCATCTAAATCATATGCTATAATTTCAAGAAAATAAATCTATGTTATAAGCTGTTACAACAAAGGTAATCATAAATCAGGTTGTTGGTTTCCCAATGCCGATTGTCATGTGGGTGTGAAGGGGTAAACACTGTTGGACAAATTCACGTAGAGTCAATTTCTGACATGACAATCGTGAATAATTATTGTGAAGGTCCAAAATATGAGATACCTTGGAGATATTGTGATTTATCTTATAATACGAACCTCACTTAAAATAGCTGAACGTATTCTTGAATAGTTATCAGTACTGACCTTTGTCCTTATCATTTATTTACTTTCTCACATCAGGGATAGGCAAGGCTTCTTTGTCAGATTACGATGTTTATGTGGGAAAATTACAGGTTAAATGATTATGAGAAACATACGTCGCCTCGAGAAAACTCTGACACAAACACGAGTCATTACAGGATTCAGTTAAAGGTATACACACTGATTGTTATGTTGTCAATTTCATATTTCATATATTTGGGCTGTATTTAGAATTGTTTTAACTTTAATCGATATTCTACCATGACATTGAAGAATGCTTGATTCTGATTGTTTAAAAAGATTATTTTTTTTTTTCAACAGAAACCTCTTTTAAACATATTAAGCCTTTTCACATAAAAACCGTGCGTATGAATACATCGATAGCCTACATATCGATCCGTAACAAAATAGCAGCCAACTGATCAACCATAAAAAACTGTATACCGTGTCGACATTTTCTCTGTTAGACGGTGGGTCTCTAGCACAAGCCAGGTCTTTAATACGCGCCGGGTCAACGGCTCTTGCGAAATGAATCTATTAGACGCCCGAGTGTCTAATAGAGGCAGTACGGTACACTTGATATGGGATGTTTTTCGATCGATTGCTTCGATGATGAGATTACAAGATTTAACGAAGGCATATATTTTGCATACGAATGATAACCTTCATGAAACTCTTATGGTTCGTTGGCGAATAGGTTATTTCCTCACTGAAACAAATCATAATGAAAGTAAAATATAACTTAATAAAAAGTGTTTTTAAAAACTTTATTCATGGCAGCATGTCGTTTACAAACCTTTTGGAATCAATATTTATTGACATCTCCGTCAACATCCGACGTAAGGTGTTGGTTGGAGGGAATTTGACACTCCATCAGAAAACACTGCTCCATTTGAAAGACCACGGAAACAAATGTCCCGACATAACTGCAGTCACTTGAACACAATGGCTTATCATACTTGATGAAATTCATTTCAGAACAAGCACAATTAAGCTAAACATACACGAACCACTCTGTCGGGGCAAGGCTGTCACATTCCTTTGTCATGCTGGCATCGATACATAAACGCACCACTCTGTCGGGCCAAGGCTGTCACATTCCTTTGTCATGCTGGCATCGATACATAAACGCACCACTCTGTCGGGGCAAGGCTGTCACATTCCTTTGTCATGCTGGCATCGATACATAAACGCACCACTCTGTCGGGGCAAGGCTGTCACATTCCTTTGTCATGCTGGCATCGATACATAAACGCACCACTCTGTCGGGCCAAGGCTGTCACATTCCTTTGTCATGCTGGCATCGATACATACACGAACCACTCTGTCGGGCCAAGGCTGTCACATTCCTTTGTCATGCTGGCATCGATACATAAACGCACCACTCTGTCGGGGCAAGGCTGTCACATTCCTTTGTCATGCTGGCATCGATACATAAACGCACCACTCTGTCGGGGCAAGGCTGTCACATTCCTTTGTCATGCTGGCATCGATACATAAACGCACCACTCTGTCGGGGCAAGGCTGTCACATTCCTTTGTCATGCTGGCATCGATACATAAACGCACCACTCTGTCGGGGCAAGGCTGTCACATTCCTTTGTCATGCTGGCATCGATACATACACGAACCACTCTGTCGGGGCAAGGCTGTCACATTCCTTTGACATGCTGGCATCGATACATACACATACACAAACCACTCTGTCACAGATCGGGATTGTCATCGTGCTTCGAGTAAGTTGTCAGAGGCACGGAGGCTGTCAACAACAACAACATTGGCAACCACTGACACCAGGGACGAGTGACCGCGATGTAGGTCAAGTTCTGCCAACACTTACACATTAAAATACTTAGTAGAATGTTAATTAAACAAAAAATGTGTTCGAGAAATAAATTCATTAAGCATTTGTTTAAACTAGTTCTCCAACCCGTCACCCCTACAATGGGAGATGGCATGTTCTATTTCCAACCAAGAAATGACTTGTATCTGTGATTTCCTTGATATTGTCTCGGTGAGTCGTCCGAACAGTGCAGTGGAATTAAAACATACATCGTTGAAAAACTATATTTTTAACCCTTATTTTGAACTAGTCAGGTGTATTTTAATGTTGATCTTTAGTAATACTTGATACATTAATTTATTACAAGTGGCCTCTTTCCGGAATGTTCTAAGACAGCGGACCAGTGTACCTGTGACCTGTAGCGCTCGGTTCCAATACCAGGTATCTACTCTACAGTGGGACTACACGAAACTTCAAAACACAATAGGGGCGGTCGGGTAGCCTAGTGGTTAAAGCGTTCGCTCGTCACGCCAAAGACCCGGGTTCGATTCCCGACATGGGTACAATGTGTAAAGCCCATTTCTGGTGTCCCCCGCCGTGATATTGCTGGAATATTGCTAAAAGCGGCGTAAAACCATACTCACTCACACTCACTCAAAACACAATAGGTTTAGCTCCTAAATGAATCCGACAAATATCACGAACAAATGCATTTGCTTTTCTTTTAGCGGCAAGTATGCATCAATGCTTTTAACAGAGATTTCGAATGATTATGAAAATGGTTTTGTCGCTTCTATTTATGTACATGCATCATGGTATTTCAGACTCTGGCTCTACGGATCCATTTCCTGATTCCTCTCTGTCTGAGCAGGGGAACAGGAGCCATATTTCAAGGGGACGACACAGGTGTAACCTTGTGATTCTCTGCGTTGACATGTAACAAGCTATACAGTGTACATTGCAGCAACGTGAAACGGGGATGTTTGTAAGGACTATGACTCAAATATCATTGATCTTAGATATTATTCGTCCATGCACTTCTTCCATATGACCATTCGGAATTCTTTTGGCACATCCTGTGTAAATGTCAAAGTCACAAGAATCTCACTTGTACGTTCGTGGTTACACATTTCAAAAACAACTAATGTATTCTTAATTAAACTTGGCATATACCTTCTTTAAGGTCAAATTGGCCCTGCTTGAATCATAACCTCCTGACGTATGACGTTACAGTGCTGTATATGTGATGTACAGGAAGTCTTGCTGAAATAAACAACACATCTCCCATAAATCCTAGTTCAGGGAATGAGTGTGTGCCATTAAAAACTTACCATTTTGGACTTGGAGCTGTGACCAACCATTGTATCGTTGAAACCACAATTCCTTGATTCTGGTACAAGTGCACGTCGGAATACTGGCCTGATACCCAATGCCTTGTCTAGCCGAACGATGAAATTGTTTCAAATGATTAGTTCATGTTCAAGTCAAACTATTTGTTAACTCCAGAAATCTAACCCGCCGGATATCAAATGATCGGTCCCATACTCGTATGATTAATAATGTGACTGATTATAGTTATAGCAAGTTGAACGTAGGTCCCACATATTTGTATGATCAACGGTATCGTATCATATGTCTCCTTTTTCAATGATAAAATTCGAATAAATTACAACCGTGTCTCAAAGTGTCCATTTTAAAAAGGTGAACATTTAGTATAATTCTCTAGATATTTAAATGTTTTGTATATGGTAAAAGAAAATATATTATCAAAAGAGTATTATAATATATTTCTGTATATGGCACATACTTACGTTTTCCAGGTCAAGTGTGTGATGGCACAGTGTGCAGCAGTGATAAACGATGAGTGCATGTGCCATTTTGGCTTCTCGGGGAATACAGGAGATTCCAGTTGTCAAAGTTAGTCTATTTGTAACACGTTTTCTTTTAATGATAACTGTAACATCAAGGTTTCACTTTCTTCAAAGCATGCCCGACAAACTTACATGTACAAGTAATAATCATATTGATTATTTCAAGACAATACAATGAATCCATCGTTCTATTTAACTCATTGGAATCGTTTTGAATAGCTTAATAAGCAGCTAAACCACACGTGGTTTTACTTTCTTTTTTTAAACACCATGCGACTTGAGACGACGACGTTTCGGGGCTATGCCTTGTCCCTTCATCTGGTGATTACCGAATGTGTGCCTTGGCCATTCATGGGGAGATAACCCAAGTAGTACTCACTGAGATGATATGATTATATACAGGCCGGCATGTTTAAACACGGTGGTGTCAATGTTCCAAGATAACACGAAAACGGGGAAGCCAAAAGCCAAACCTCATGAGAAATGTTGTACGATTCCGACTATATCATAAGCGGTGGAGCAGGATACGCTCACATCTTCGATAACACCTGGTATCATCACTGTTCGATAATGATGGATAGGCGCATGCTTTTGATGTAGTCGGAATCGTACAATGGCTCCTGCTTTTAGCAGTGATTTCTTATGCTGAAAGAAAGAGTCTGGGCGCTATTCTTCGTTTGCAGACCTACACTGACTAAGCAATGTGATTCTAAAAGGACACCATGTCTGTCATCAGCTTCGTACATATATATAATCGACCTGTGGAGATCCGGCCTAGAATAGGTCTTCAGCAACCCATGCTTGCCATAAAAGGTGACTGTGCTTGTCGTAAGAGGCGACAAACGGTATCGGGTGGTCAGGCGCGCTGACTTGGTTGACGGATGTCATCGTATCCCAGTTCCGTAGATCGATGCTCATGATGTCAATCACTGGATTGTCTGGTCCAGACTCGATTATTTACAGACCGCCGTCATATAGCTGGAATATTGCTGAGTGCAGCGTTGAACAACAAACAAACAAATAAAACATACATATAATCTATTTGGAAGATGTCTTTTACCAACCATGATTTTCTTCGTGCTGCTTGGTTCAATGAATCAATGTATATGGTGTTGTATAAGTAATAACCTACTTGTGCATGTTCACTGACAATATTTTATTTATTTCACCCATCGCTTTGGTAACTCGATTCCTTGTCTGTTTATAAGGCGTATTGCGCCAGATTTCCGAAGGAGACCTGAAACCGAATAAAGGACAGCGGAATGCTATTAACGCCAAGACAGAATTGGCTAACTGGAATGTTCTTGGAAAAAGAAACCAACCGCCAGTGCTTGGTGTGGACACAAATCTGACGGACTCCCTGCCGGACATTCCCATTCTCTGTTGGAGACTCCCAGTACCAGTTTTGTTTGCGCCTGTGATATCAGGTATGTAAATACTGGACAATGTGACCTTCATGAGGCCCAAAATACGTACAGACGTCTAGGTCATGGCCAGCTGACCCGCGTGGATTCTCCTTGAGGTTGTACTTGAGTGTTAGTCACAGTGGTGGGATCACAAATTCGTGATCCACTGCAGTATAGGACTTCTGATCGAAGTGCACGAACACGCGCTGTTGCTTGCTTCTACGATTTGTGAGGTAACGACTGAGTCAATAGGTTATAGCCGTGTCTGATAGATGTCTTTAGGCTGTTTGACTTTGTATTGTTAAATCATAGGAGTATGGTGTCCTACATGTATGTTTTGAAAGATTAATGCCTTCGTTTATCCTTATCAGGGTTAAGCAGCTGTCTATCGTAAAACGAGATAAGCTGTTTTTGTTGTGACTATTTCCGTTTTTTACTCAAACACATGTTCAAGCACGAACACACTCTTGAAAAGCAGACACACAGTAGAACAGCACATAGTAAGCATTGCATATTCAGATATGAATAAGTACAAAGTAATAACATTGTAACAGTGTATGAAAACTGGTGGTAATAAAAAAACAAATCAACTTACATTGGTTATATACACATACATAGTTTTATATTAACTTACTATGGTAGCATTCATTTTATTAATCCTGGAACATGGATAGGACAGTTTCCCACCTTTTCTCAAATTTACCCCACTGACAAGATGTATAAGCAGTACATGTTTCTATTGAATATTCCTATTTTAATAATTTGATATTGAATGTCACGTTTGGATTGTTTCCTTTCATCTCACACGAGTATTGTTTGTTTGAACTCCACTACTTCAGCTACTGCAACATGTTCATCCAGTAAAGTTAACCAGGGACTGATGTAGGTCTGCATATTCAAAGGTCGTTAATCGTAAAGGGTTTTAAATCTTCATTTGCTGCGAGGAATCTTTCCAGGGCTTGTATACACAATTCATGTAGCCAGTGTTATCAGTAGTCTCTTTGCTTGCAGGTACAGGGTGTATGTACTTCACCCAATCCATTAGTTGATTACTACCTTGAACATATTCGGATAAGATGGTAACAGCGTAGACTAAATAGAATGATGATGTATCATGTAGATAGCCTTAATAAATTACCTTAAATATATACTTTGACCTCGTGTTTTAACAGTTAACATGTAATTGAACTAAGTACGCTGAAACCCATCAGTAACATGTACGTGATGGCCCCGGTGTAAGAGCGCGGTCAACTCCCAGTGTGGAAGTAACTTATGCACACATGCCAGTAAATCCACATGATTGTCAAACAAGAAACACCGACGTGATAAAGAATTCGCCATTTTTGTTCGAAACTTTAAACCTGACAGATCTTTATCACCGTGACAAACATTGGAGCAGGTCAACTTTTAGGACAATGTCTTTTTAGTAGGATAATATTTAAAGCATCGTTTTAAATTTTATTGTGTTTATGTATTAAAGAATAACAGTCACAAACTGTCTAAAATCGCGTCGCGTTAATATGTGACTGTTTTCCTTCCATAAAAGCACAAAAGATGAAAACTAATCCTGATAATTACAAAGTTAATCTCCTTTCCAGTAACATTCAATTATAATTCCACGTCAGCCTGGCGGAAAATAAGACAACACATACACATTTTGCAATTATTTCTGATTAATGTATTGAACGTTGTCCCTGATTATTACCTCTCCTATGGGGTAATTGTATCCCTTAGCGGACATTAACTGCTGTTCGTGGGTTCGAATCCAACAATCACCCGATATTACGCATTGGTCTGTTCACGCTATTCCCTTGCGTGTTGGCTTCAAGTATGTGGTAAGTGTTTAAGACACGTGTGACCATTCTGACATGCCAAGATACCTCCATAGCAGAGTGGAAGCCAACCAGCTACTAGTTACACTGGGACCTACTTTGCCTTCTCTATGACAATCCCAGCAACACCTCACCAATCAGAATACTACCACATGGTCGGATACTTAGAGTCTGGGGAATACAACATTGCTTTTACTAAGGTCATTAATGAAGATTATTACCCACGTGGTGAAGATACAGGTGGTAAGATACTAAATCCGTACGTCACACGTGTGTTGTACAAGGTTGACCTTGTTTTATTCGTTTGATTGGATAACCGTGACCTCTGTCACACCGGGACTAGTTTTTTCATTCATAAAAAATCACGAGATGCATTTATTTTTCAAAAACAAGGCAGAACTGAAGCTATCTCATGTGAGCGAGAGATATTTACAAACACTTTATTAAAAAAAACAAGATAGTCACACGCATCAAATTCGGTTTGCATTCTATATAAGTTATGCATAGAGCTTCTACAGACATTATATAATCTAGTTATATCCATTTACAAAGTACGCCTGCCGATCAATAGATCGAGGGTCCCCATGAGCGTGACGCACCCGACCACTTTCGCAACTTTCAATTTGATTCAACGTAACAGGATACGCGTGGTGAAATGAAGTCAGTTTAAACTATCTGGACAGATATCTAGACTTACTTGGGATGATCCGGTTGTGCCATCAGTGTCCCTTTCGAAGCGTATTTTGTGGCAGTGTTTTGGGAGTTGTTTGTTCACGACTGCACGACCAGATCACTGAGTGAACATAGAACATTTCTCATACAAATCTTTCGAAAACTCCGTAGATGTGTGTCTGATTTCTGATTATGTGGCCCAAAATATCCCAAATGTAAACAATAACATTCCCTATCTCTAGCATAAAACGCTGTGAGTAGATCACGTAGAGTAGATTGTCTTTCCTTATTCCGTTGGTGACCTTGCCCTTCGTTCGAAGCTGTCAGTGACATGCAAGCAGACTTGAGTTTGTTGATTTTCACGTCTTTAATACAGGGTAGTACAGTTAAGATGAATGTTTTTGGCAAACACTCTGATTTCCCTCTTTCAAAATGGTACGGACATGATATAAGTTTAGCTGACAGATCAAGAAAACCGAGCCATATTAAAAGCACAGACGGGACCCCGGCAGTGCGAGTGACCGACTGTTGGTCCGATATTCAAAGCGCGGCGCAAATATGACTTTTCAAATTTTCTTATAGGTGTCCTGCGTACTAACAACATGTTACTAACAACAAACTCGTGAACTTTCTATGGTATCTAACGAGAATTAGTGTAGTATTCTCTATATACTGGCCAGGCGGGATCTGGGACATCCAGAGCCGTCCTTCAATACAATGATTTTGCTTGAATCAGTTTTCAAACAGTCGTGTCAATAATCTCCACCTGTTACTGTAGATCAATGTATACTTTTCAAGATGACGTGGGAAACCAATTCTTAAATCTTCAACCTTGATTCTTCCGTCCATTTCAAAATGGCGACCAGGATCATGTGCTGGTCGTCCAAGAGGAAGGGTAAGATTTTATTGAAGACAGCATTAATGATGAAATCACATTATCATTTGGATAAGTATTTTGGAACTGTGTTTGCGGGAACCATTCTCATTTTATGCTTTTACTTTCATTCGCCTCTGGCATGGAGGGGCACCCACCCGGTCATCTCAGGCCCGCTGTGCAGTGTTGCATCCTTTATGCTTATAGTCACAGGTTCACTTTGATTATGACCCTTGGTTTGCCATACTCGTTTTCTTGTGTTTCACAAACGTGATAAACGTCCTGCACTAATTTAGCTGTCACGTCGTGATATATGTTCTTCAGGTTTGCAGACTATGAGTATTCAGGGCCTTAGTAGATACTTCAATTATTTATGGTAGACATGCGGAGGACATTTCCAAAATTGACGCGTATCAGTGACATAAATTATGTCTGATGCAATTGGTTATTTTGACATCCATTGATCACTTGTCATTGGTTTGTGTTTCTGATAACTGCAGGTGGTAAGGCAGGATTCGCTTACCTTTTCGCAAACTTCTGGTATCATCACTATCTGTTAGTGATTCATAAACACGTGCTTTTGATATTGTCGTTTTACGTGTCGATTCCCAAACTGACACAATGTGTTACCGCAGAAATCTGTACGTGAAAGTACTTAGTGTGAAACCAACAAACAACCCACAATTGCTATACAATCAACAAACGTATTACAAAATTAACTAGGTTTACAAATCAAAACACATAACTGCACAGCAATTACAATGTCGGTACACAATAGAGTGGTAGTACAATATTCAGTGGCAATACATAATATGATGACAGTGGTCAGTATCAAATACAAAAATACAGTGGTGGTAGAAAAAGCCAGTGATAATAATATATATTCACCCAGCGGCGACAGTGGTCAAGCTTCCGAGATAGGCTAGGCATGGAATCAGGGATGATGAGTGATCCTCACATGAAAGTGGTCTTGATGTGATTAAAAGTGTGAGAGATGCGTACACATGCTCTTATCCAACAACATATACAGTTCAACTAGACACTGGAGCCACCGCTACACAGTGCCCTCACCAGTCTAGTGGCACTGGAACATACCACATGTTTCTATAACACGCTATCACCGTAAGCGGTAACGGAAAGTTAACACACCACACTAGCATCTGAATAAAGTAGCTTCCTGACGACTGCTTACATTAAATGGCACTACATTCCTGACGACTTACCACTACCCAAATACAATGCAATGAGCGTCTACCGAATCTCAACAGAAATAATGTAAAACAGTACATTGGACTGTTATGATTAGAGATTTCATGTGAACGTAGAAAACGTTTAGTTGCTTGTATATGCAAAGTAACATTATATTCAACGCACTCTCTCATTCTCTTTTATGGATGTTCTGACAGGTGCTGGACGTACGTAGGTCGTCAGGGTGGTCGACAGACACTCTCTGTCGGACAGGGATGCGAGGACAAACTGATCATCACTCATCTGGTTCTCCATACACTTGGCATGTGGCATGAGCACAACAGAGCTGACAGGGACGAGTATATCACTATCCACCCAGAAAATATCGAAGAAGGTACATTTCACCTGCACATGTTAATACCTTGCATAAGTAAATGCTTACGGTATACATTATTTGCCTTATTATTGTATCCAACAATCGGTAAAGAAACATGCACAGCCTATGAGAAAGGCTAGATTTGTTGTCAATTCCTAAAGAACGAAAAGAAGGTGAAGATATTGTGTTGGTGAATGCTATTATCAGTAATATTCCAGCCATGTCAAGGCGATCTGTAAATAAACGAAAACAGTTACGGAATCATCACCAAAGATTACACAAACGTATTTGTTTCCAAGCAGAGATGAAGCGAAATGTGGCTGACAATTGCATGCACGTGTGCGCGGCTGCTTGTTCTAGTCCGGACTTGTGCCGACCCGTGAAGATTCCGGGGTAGAATTGGTCCTTAGCAACCCATGCTTGCCGTAAAAAGTGACCATGTTTGTCGTAAAAGGCGACTAACGGGATCGGGTGGTCAGGCTCCCTGACTTGGTCGATGCATGTCATCGATCCCAATTGCGTGGATCGATGCTCATGATATTAATCACTGGATTGTCTGGTCAAGACTCGATTATTTACAGACCGCCGTCATATAGCTTGAATATTGCTGAGTGCGGCGTTTAACAACAAACCAACCAACCAACCGGGCTTGTGCCGGTTTTTTGTAGTCCTAGACCACTGAGATGCCATTTTGGTATGACGCGGCCAGGGGATCGAACTACTGACCTTCCACTCTCCTTGCAGATGCGGTGTTTTTATCAAGCAGGAGGAGGATAAAAGATGGGAGCATTCGATTTACACTAGTCTTGTTGAGCAGGATGCATTATGGTGCTAGGAATTAGAATAAAATATACACATTGAAGATGTGATTTAGATGCTATATTACCAGGCAACTTTTGCAAATTCCTGCACTGTATTTCAGGTGCGATGGTAAATTTCCACAAATATCATCTAATGGAAGCAAAAGACATTTTGCCGGTGATCAAGAGTGGCATCAACCCAGAAATTCATCCTACAACGGACACCATCTTCCAAGTGCATAAAATCGAAATATCACCTCTTATGAGCAAGAGCTAATAAATTCCAAATGCCACCTAGATAAAACACTGTTCCCTTACGACGTGTGCTCCCTAATGCACATCGGGCCATTCAGTTACTCCAGTAATGGACTTCCAGTCTTCAGCCCCAAACAGTGGCGAGGGCCTTGTTCAAATTCCAACACCGGCGACGAAGACCTCGAAACGTTATGCAATATGTTCATTTATCAGCGTGAGTTGATTTACAGAAGTGATATATCGCAGCCAGTAATCAATATTGCAGCGCCCGATTTACTGACATTGAGACTTGGGAAATCCTATATGAGATTTTATTATCTAACAGGTTTCGCATGAAAGTGTATTCTGGGTGATGCCATTTTTTCATATAACTGCCTTATCTAGATCGTTAGAGAGTATTGATATACATGGAGAGGTGGAAATTATTCATTTACGATTAACAAACGTTAGAGATTGGAAAACTCCTTTGAGCAATTTCACAATGACTAAAACGGAATGTTTGATTGAATATGATAGAATCTTTGCTTTGGTATGGGTTATGACGCCATAATTACTGAGAAGGAAATCGCAAGGCAACTTCAAAATTTCATTTTAAACTTCAAATAGGGTATCTTAATCCATGTGTTGCAGCAAACTCGTGTTTGTAAGGTCATTCATGTTTGTTTATGACAACAGAGATCTAAAACGTTACTTCTCGTAATGCAAAGTCACCTTTGTGATCAACTGGCCTGTGGTTCGAATCCGACTTCGTCATGCATTACTACGTGTCCTTACATTCATCCAATTCACACACTATCACACTGTATGTTTACCTAGTATGGCACCAGTATCACAAGGTCCTTGGTTGTGTCCCGCCGTCCGCAACAGTTCAGCTCGAGAATGGTGACAGAAAGACTATGAAAGATCTGCCGATCGGAGACAGTGTAATGGTGATGGATGAAAATCAGGAAATGACCTTCAGTGATGTGCATCTAATGATACACAAATTGGATGAGGCGTATGTCAATTATGTCATAATCGAAACGGAAATTGGACAGAGATTAACATTAAGCATGGAACATATCGTATATGTATCCTCATTCTGGAACTCACAGCCTTGGACGAGAATGGCTAAGAAGGTAAAGTTTGGAGATTACCTGTACCGCCCTGAAATGTCAAACCGGACATTTAGTCCGACCAAGGTGGTGTCTGTGAGGAAGGAAGTGATGGAAGGAGCATATGCACCTTCTACACTATCAGGAAACATGGTGGTTGACGGTCATCTTGCCTCTTCGTATGTCTTTATGGAGGATCAGGGTGTGGCTCACGGGCTTTTTTTTGCCATGGCGGTTGACGTATAACATACATAACGCTGTGTTTGGAAGGTCACCTCAGGTTCCAGCTCCTGGTCTCCACTGGTCCGTGAGGGCCTTCCTGACAATCTACTGTGCAGTAGTTGAACACGAAGTCTGTGACGGGTTGTCAAGCACGTTATAGAACTGTATATGACAAATCGGTTAAATGTATTAACTGCCCCCGTATACCTTACACACACAAAATTACAATCTTCAATCTTTTTAGCATATCATTTTGATTTTTGTTCAGATGTATAATAGGTTCCATCATACTTATGACTCCATGGAGGTACCGGGTTGGAATAGCTAGTATTGATCTCTGGTGACCTATTCTCCTTACAAGAAAAAGCTAAAATGGATGAGGTGTTCGGGCGCTGTTCCTTTGGCTAATCACATGTAATCGTTCCCCAATTTGACTGTTCGATACTGATCCAAACTCCATTCTCTCTTGGTCTCCATCATTGAACTAAATATTACTGATTATTGCGTTACACAACATTCACTGACCCACGCATTCACTGTTAAGTTATCTCAGTATTTTAGTATTTTAGTGTTTCTATTTTTTTTAAATCGTTACATCTTTCCAGCTAAACAGAATCGGCTCTTCCAATGTACTATTTACGGCTCTGAGACTCGAAGGAGGAGTGTTCACCTGACACTGAGATAGGAGATGGAAATGACAAGCACCAACAATTGGTATCTGACAAGTCAAGTCAAATATATTTCCTACGCCATTAGCCAAAATCTGTAGATGCATAAGCATAGTGAGGCTACACTTTGAGTGTAACAAACACAGTGAAGACAACACAGGAACCACGAACCCCTACCTCAAACACACAACCCACGCAGGTCCACCAAGAGCATACTTAATTACAAACGATATAATTACAATGTAAAAATTGACTTTATGAACCTATGGAGTGAGGTCCAAACTGTATGAACGTCGGAGCTTGCGATGATTTTGGACCTCACTCTATGAAGGTTCATACTCCAATGAACTCACACAAAGTGAAACTCAGGTCTTATAATTTTGATATCACTATTTTATACTTCGATTACACAATTATATTTACTACGTGTGACTCAATGTTTACACAGACAGCCATACTACAACCAACTGTTACGCGAAATAGAATAGTTCATCAAAAGGAGAGTTGACATGAGAGTATGTTTGCTCAAATGTCACTACAGGACATATTTTGTAAATTTGTTACTGCAAATATATTTCAATAACATCATCATTAGATGCAAAAGATCTCTTAAGAACTACCTCTGTAAGTCAGTAACTTTGACAGCGAGGCGTTATACATTTAAGTCAAATACAGGACGTCAAAATGGCTGACACATCAAACGTGACGGGAAAGATTTCTCAAGTTGTCAATGAACCGGTGGCGATTACAAGTGTTCAAGTACAAGTTCAAGTCATCATTGATCAATTGGCCGATCACTGAAAGATGATTATAAAGATGTGTCAAATAGATTCTGAGGAACATTTAAAGTTTGCTGTAGACTGTTCACTAAGATGGGTCGTAGCGAGGATGGTCTCTGACTTATTATATGCTTAAACGCTAAGTTCAAGATTAAAGAGTTTAAATCATCAGAAACTAACGCTTCTGCGAGGGAATTCCCAGGTGTTCCCCCCAGGATTGTAGAAATAGTCCGTCAATATTAACGTCATTTCAAGTATACAGTCTCGTGACAATGTATGAACGTGAAACTGTGTCGTTCATGCATGTATGAACGTCAGTTTCGCGGTCGTGTGACCGACCGCTCGTGCGTTTTGAAAGCCATTTATCGTGTAAACTTCACATTGAAAATTATTCACTCAAATTTACGTTCTGTCAACGTATGATAAACACACTATATAACATTAAGCGGATCAGCCAATTTCACAGGTTTAACTTGATCAATAAAGTTAATTGTACAGGGATTTTTTTAGTAAAACAACCCGATGTAGAAAAAAACCTAGCCCAATATAGGGCTTATATTAAAAAAATCAGAAGTCAAGAGTGTTACGTGTCGATTCCCAAAAAGAAACAATATATTAACCCAGAAATCTGTATGTTAAAGAACTAAGTGCGAAACCAACAAACAACATACAAGTGGTATACAATTAACAAATGTATCAAAAATTAACTAGGTTTATAAATCAATTACTGCACAGAAATTACAATGGCAGTACAAAATAGAATAGTAGTGCAATAAATAATATGATTGCGGTGTTCAGCATGAAATATAAAAATACAGTGCTGACAGCAAACGCCAGTGATAATAGTATATTCACCCAGCGGCGACAGTGGTCAAGATTCCGAGATATGCTTAGGCAGGGAATACGTGGTGATCTTCACACGAAAGCTGGTCTTGATGTATTCTCAGGTGAACATGTGTGAGCGACGTGTGTGAGACATACTAGCTACTGGAAATTTCTACACAGTTCCCTTAAGAGTCTGGCGGCACTAGAACATCACAGAAAAATTCCACCTAAGTCCACGGTATACCGGACGTTTACACGTCACACTAGCATCTAAATATAGTAACATCCTGACGACTACTTACGTTAAATAGTACTACATCAATGACGACTAATCACAGCCCAAATACAATGCAATGAGCGTGTATCGAATCTCAACAAAAACAGTGTAACACGGTTACAATCATTGTTCAACAATAAAATACAATGCCATATAATAAGAGGTATCCTGAAATCAATACGTCAGATCATTTGGATTAATTTAGATACATCATTTGAAGCTACATGCAGATAAAAAACCATTGCATAAAATGTTAATACTAATATCACAACGACGACAGCGGTTATAACAGAAATATTTTATAATCTGCTCTACCAATTACCACGACGTGAGTAAAAGCAGAATTGGTAATGTAATCATACAATTTTGACCCATTTTTGGCTATCAAAAAGTACCACGTTTGTTAAATAGCATGATAAGGTACTGTGCTAGATCTTAAACACACCTGTTACATTCCCCCAACATTATGTAACGCCGCTGGAAGCTGCAGGTGGGTAAGGCATAATTAACACTGGGATTCTCTAGATTCTTTTAACATATAGACATGTTAATTTCCATTATATGCTATGTTACAGCAATGTCACTGCATAACTATTTAATCAAAAGTGACAAAACCCTTTCCACATTCCTGAAAAAATCTTTGCTTAAAGCAGAGCTGATTGCTCTATTCCGACTATAACATGAGCATGTGTCCATGAATCACTATCAAATAATGATGATGCCATGTGTTTGGAAAAAGGTGAGAGTATCCTGCGCCACTGTTGGCACCGTTACAAACGCATGCAAAAGAAGTCAATTGTTCACATGAAAAACCTTTGAAAGCTTTACTGAGGCCTTTAATGTCGTAACCTTGACGAAACAACTTCTGAGCATGAGTAATATGCCGTGCCTTCAAATCTCTATATAAAGAACATTCTCTCGATTGTCCCTCAAAAGTTGTGTAATGTGAACATCAAAGGCTGGAGCTGCTTGACTATTGCTCGACATAAAGAGAAAGTTGACTATTGGAAAGTTGAAGTAATTCCTCTTGTGGAGCGTGTTTTGTCTCCTGTATTTCTAGTTCAAATGGGTACATGTGGAAGAGAATTTGCTATTTTACGGTATCAGGTCATCTCTATACCTGAAGCTTGAGAGGTCCTTGGCCAAATTATATTGTTTTGCGAATTCAAGCGATTCCAAATCCGATTCTAATGCATGAAGAAAACAATCCAGAAAGAAAGGGTGCACAATTTGGGATGCCTACTTCTTGTCCAAATGGTTGGGTAGTCCAGTGAATAAATTGATCCGAAGGCCCGGTGTAAAATCCCTCCTCGGATACAAGTGTGTGTTTGTTTGTTTGACGCCCCCCTCGACAATATTCCATCATTATGACGGCTGTCTGTAAATAATCTGGTCCAGAAGATGCAGTGAGTGATATTGTGAGCCATATCCACGTCGTCGGGACGATGACACGCCGCCATCGCCGACTCTGATCACCTGCCTTAGGACCGGCATAGGTTGATGAGGACATATATTCCACAAGGGCGTCAAGGATGCAATATGTGAAGGACATTGTTTAATTTCTCCATCTCCATGTTACTAAGCATGAGCATAAATGATAGTTTTGGCATGAAATAGTTTATAGTTATACATTCAAAACGTCAACACCAGAGAATAATCAGTCCAGAGTACATTTCGAAATAATTCCGTAAAGCGCAATATGGTGATGAAAATTATGCGAATGTACCAATTGAAATTGAAGTGATGACGCCAGATGTTCTCGAAAAGGGTTAACATATCCTACTCTAACGGTAGCACCCGCCACTGCTGCAAGACTGATTACCAAAACCAAAAAGATGGAACACATCACTCCCGTCAGGAAAATCCTTCATTGGCTTCCCATCAAAATCAGAATCCAGTACAAAATCCTTTTCCTTTTTTTTCAAAAGTGCGAAAGGACAGGACCCCACAATATCTGTATCGTGTTAAGCCCGAAGTGATGCAGGTCTCAGACGTTTACCACTTCGGTGAAACCCTCGAGCACGGGTATGGTGCTGACAAACCTAGAAACATAATCGGGGCCAACCGGGATTCGAAACCACAATCTTAGGTTTCTGGCGTGCCAAAAGGACGCAACTCTGCACAGCGAATCGCGGCGCCTTAGCCACCTATGCCCCAATAAATGGCGAATGGATATATTCAGATTTGATTTCATGTAGACAATGGTCTATTCTGATCAGGTATACTTTTAAGCAACTGCACAGTGTGAACTGCGTCTTTTACGTTTGTACCTCCATGGACGCACCCATATTGTCGTCAATTCTTAAATCTACTGAGGTGAGTGGTTATTTAGTGATGTTGATAATGAGAATTTCTGTATATACAAGTTTACGTAAATTACTAATTATGATATGAAGCTGGCTTTATTACACTGGCCCCGGTTGAAAAGTATTTGGTAGGCTAGTATTAATTTAGTCACCGGGGTTTCGAAACGTTATTGTTTGGGTTATTCACATCGGCATGAAATGCGAGACGTTACTTACAACCTCATTTTATCATTTGCAGCAGAAGCATGCGGTTACTCATAATTACTGTTGTTCTTGTACTGGTTGTTGGGTGCAGACCTCAGGCAATTCAGAAGCGAGACGGTAAGGTGCAAAGTTGAAATGTGATCAGGGGCTTTGTTAACGATACTTTGAACAGCTGTAAGTTATAACATGGCTTGTGAACCTCACATGGACGGACACCAAAATGAAACAACTCGTAGACTGTCAGACTGTTAAAAATGGTTCATGTAGAACGAACCTTGAAATTGGGATGAGCCAAGGGTCGAACCTTTGCACTGCAAGTTGCAGTGTTCTGTATAAGTCATTGACTCAAACACGCTACTTTGCATATCACTTCCTCATATAAATATTTTATAAATAGTTTAATGTGTTGTAATACGTGGACTTTGACTTGCAGTGAAGTGCAGTCACACAAAATGTGGAGTCAACGAGGTATGTGTTACCGATGGGTCTGGTGAAAGATGTGAATGCAACTTTGGTTTCATCAAGACACAGGGAAACATTTACTGCCAACGTACGTCGATTTACAAAATTAACAATTCTCTTTGAATTTATGTTTATTAACCTGTCACTTCGCTTTTCCAAAGTTCTCAGTAATTTGATTCGAAGAAGCCTTCATTCAGTATACTGAACAACACAAGTTCCTGTGACATTGAATAAGATTTAATGCAAAGTTATGTTTTTTACCAAATCTGAAACAATTTCGATTTCAACAGATAAAAGACGCCTGTAAGTTTTCAAATGGTTTAATTTGCCATACTGACTTCAGAAAATGCGTGATTTCATTAAAAAAACCTGAACATGCCAAAATGTCAATTTACAAATCAATAGCGTGTGTGTCCACCTCTGGTTGCGATGCAAGCAACACATCTTCGTCTCATGGAATGGACCAGGCGTCGCACAAAGTCCTGTGGGATATCTGTCCATATCTGCTGGAGCAAGTTCCTGGAGTGTCTGTGGAACATGTGGTTGACGTCGAAGGCGCCGATCCATCTCATCCCACATGTGCTCGATTGGTGAGAGATCAGGGGAGCGAGCCGACCATGGGATGACAATCACGTTGTTTTGTTGAAGAGAATCCTGAACAAGTCGAGCAATATGAGGCCGGGCGTTGTCATGTTGAAAGGTAATGCCTGGGCCATGACGACGCAAAAACGGTAGAACAACATGGCCGATGATCTCGTCGCGGTAGCGCTGTCCATTGAGATTTCCCTCTGCCGCTATCAAACGGGTCCTCTGTCTTGCTGTTATCCCACACCATACCATAACGCTGCCGCCAGCGAACCGATCTTCTTCCATGACACAATGATTGACGTAACGTTCACCTCGACATCAGTACACTCGAATCCGTCCATCGCTTTGGCTGAGGCGAAAACGAGACTCGTCAGTGAATAGAACTTGTCCCCACTGCATGGCCGCCCAGCGTAGACGCTGTCTGCACCACTGTAGACGTGCCTGACGGTGGTTTCCTGTCAAAATGGGTCGTCTGGCGGGTCTTCTGGCGATAATCCCTGCACATCTGAGGCGGCGACGTACGGTTTGTGAAGATATTCGTCGAAGGCCAGTGATGCTTCTTACAGTCACTGTTGCTGGCTTGAATCGATTTCGTAGGTGTGTTGTTCGAATCCAGTTGTCCTGTCGGTTATTGGTTACGCGTGGCCTGCCCTCCGAGGATGGTCTCTGACCGCATTCGTCTGTTGCCAACGTTGCCATAAACACCAAATGTTGTTTCTGTGGACGTTAAATTGTCTTGCAACATCACGTTGACTCGATCCTGCTTCAAGCATACCATGGCTCGCAGACGCTCATTTTCGGACAGGCGTAATGTAGAATAATTGCGTATTTTTGTTGTTTTTCTGAGTGGTTGTTGTCAGCACGATGCTAAACAATGCATATGGAATCCCGTTAACAGTTGCGTTTCTGTGACAATATTGAAAACCAAACTTTACTTGTTTGAAAAATACACTAAAATATTGGTGTCACAGGAACTTTTGTTGTTGAGTTTATTACAGTTTCATAAATTCCAACATGAGGTATGAAATGATAAATTTCATTAGGTACATGCAACTTAGGATACAACATTAGCTTGAATCCCATTTGTTTTTTAGCGTCAAACACTGAGCGTCCTCTCGACAAGATTATTCGAACAAACCGACTAAAAGGTAAGATGGTACTTCACCAAGTATTACATGAATGAGGAACTAGGATTTTACACCGCCCTGAAACTTCAGTTATATCATTGCGTGTCACCAGTGGGAAAAAGCCTTGCAGATCTTAGAGGTTTAACCCAATCTCATTAAAATCAGATCGCTAAAAAAGATCTGAAGACCTCCCATAAGGGGTCACGTCAGAACGACCTTTCATCCGACCAATCAGAGCGTCGCTTATCAGATCATGAAAGTGACAGTCGGAATGTGATTTCTAATCATGCAACCTGGAAAACTTTAACACGGGGTATTCCGAACGATAGTAACAGGCTTAACGACTAAACCTTACAACTGGACCATCTATTAGCCATTCCAGAATATTCTTTTGTTCAGGTTTCAAATTTTTAATCGAGAATTTGTCAAAATGTGTTTCGAAGTGAAGTCGCCAATTTGAAATTAGCGCAGTAAAGCTCGAAAAAGCTGTCTTCTTATTGGCTAATGTCGACTTCTTGTCAGTCATTCAATTGGTCGGTCAAAGTTCGCGCAAGGTCGGTCTGACGTGACCCGTAATGGGGTGTCCTCAGATCTTTGTTTATCGGTAGCGAGAATTAAGATCTGATTTTAATGAGATTGAGGTTCAACCACTTTGCTCAAACACAAGAGTAAGTGCTCACTAGACCGGTGAAGAACCGGGTTAGAATACACCTTCAGCAAACCATGCTTGGCGTAAGAGTCGAGTGACGGCTTCGGGTGGTCGGGCTCAGCTGACATGGTTGATGCATGTCATGGTATTGCATGGATCGATGCTCATGATGTCAATCACTGTCTGGTCAAGACTCGATTATTTATAGACCGCCGTCATACAGCTGGAATATTGCTTAGTGTGACGCTAAACAACAAACAAACAAACAAACAAAGGTGCTCACTAACCTGGAAACAAGATCATGGGTTTCTTGCGCGCGAAAGGAACGCAGCCTCAGGACTTGGCAAGCCGTGCACCTACTTACTTAACTAAGTACAGGACGAAAAGAACAATCCTCGAATAGATGGATTAATTGTTGTGGGACCTTAACCCTCCACATCAGTATTTCAGTAATATACTGAGTCAAATTAAAAACTTCACATTTTTAAAAGTAATCCCATATATGATATACAACGGACAAATGTCCAAAGAAGGATTTTACTTAACGGTGGTAAGTATAATTTGTTCCAAGCACCTACGGTATTCGGTAATAACATCAACAGTTTAAATCATAAGTCCCAAGCACGAGAATCTGATGGCACACAAGTTCAGTAGCGTGTATGGCCACCATGTGCGTTGACAACTGCCACACAACGCCTCATGGACCTTGTGATGCTTGTGAACACATGATTGGGAAGACGACGCCATTGTTGCTGCAAAATGATGCCAAGATCTTGCAAATTCTCTGGTTGATTCTGGAGAGTGCGCAGACTTCTGCCAAGAGCATCCCAGACGTGTTCGATGGGATTAAGGTCGGGAGACCTAGACGGACAGTCCATGACGTTGACTCCAGCATTCTGAAGGAAATTCCTTGTCAAAATTGCTGTGTGGGGTCTGGCATCGTCGTGTTGGAAGATTAAACCGGGTCCATGTGCTGCCATAAAAGGCAGAAGTTCTGGTGCCAGTACCTGGTCGCGGTAAGCAGCAGCGTTGAGGTTGCCACGGATGACAAGAAGCCTGGAACGTGCATTGCCACAGAAAGCATCCCACACCATTAGCAAATCGAAGATTAAATCGGGATTCATCACTGAAGACGACTTGATTCCAATTCCATTCCGCGTCCATCGTAAGTGTCGCTGTGCCCACAATTGACGTTGACGTCTGTGTAATTGAGTCAGAATCGGCCCGCAGTATGGCCGTCGTGCTTGAAGGTGAGCAGTTCTCAGACGGTTTCGAACAGTTTGCGCACTCAGTCTACCCCTAAACAATTCATTTCTGCTTGATGTAGCCGTCAAAAATCGGTTACGGAGGTGGCGTAAGACAATCTGACGATCCTCTGCATGTGACGACTCACGTGGTCTACCTGGCCGAGGGCGATCAGCGGTGGTACCCGTTTGCTGTAGACGCGTTTGCAAATCATAAACAGTCCGTCAACTACAACCCATCGTCCTTGCGACTTCAGCTACGGACATTCCCGTCTGCAACGTGCAGATGGCACGTTCACGTTGCACATTTGAAAATGGCCGTAAAGACTTTTGTTTTCTTGTGTGTTTTTTTTTTAATGACTGCTAACAAGTAAAACACGTGCGGCTGAAAACACGTGCGGTATTATGGCCACGTGACCAGTTGCACGTGAAAAAACACTTTTTCCACTATAGTGCTGTGCACATGATTTTGATTGATTCACCTGCACAAAAACGGGTGTTATCTGAAGACAATACGTGGCCATAACTGTTTAAATACACAATAAGGGCCAACAATGATAACTGGTCAAAATGTTAAAATTTTAGGATTTTGAAGTTTTTAATTTGGTTCAGTATATATTTCTATACTTGGTTACATGATATAAAAGTACATGTATCGAGTGGCAACCCGAGAATATCCACATTCTTCACAAACATCACCGTTGTTATGAGAATAGCCTACATTGTTTCTTAGTTCTATTTCTTCACCTTAGGAATCCTGCATGAACTGTTCGAGGGTGATATGAAGTTGAATCTTGGTCAAAAACGTGCAATTGACGTGTTCAAAGAACTCTACAGCTGGAATATTCTTGGCAAAAGAAATATATTTCCTTTTGTCGGAATCGACACAAATCTTACCGACAGCTTACCCGACATCCCCATTCAGTACTGGCGTCTACCGGTGCCTGTTGCCTTTTCACCTGATGTTCCAGGTAGGATTTGTAACCTCTGTACACACCAAGCAGGATATTGTGCAAGCAATAACCCTTTTCATTCCCCACCGCCGTATCATTTCAGGAATTGTTTAGTTTGTTTCGTATTTTGTTATTCAAATATCACACATATCATTATTATGAATACACTGTGCCATTTAGAGAGTGGTGAAATGTAACCAATGTTATATTTGGGATAACACTTTCTGAGCAAAGTGCAAATTCTAGTACTTTTGGGGGTTGCCTCCTTCTGGCAGTGTGGTTTCGAATCCCGGATGGGACTCAACCAAAAAAAAATACTAGAATCTGTTCGTTACACAGAAAGTGTTATCCCAAATTTAACATTTGTAACACATCATTAATTTGTTATACAGTTATATACCGCACTATATATATAAAAATATCGTAAAAATATACCGAATTTGGTAGCCTGTTTGCCGTGGGTTGCGACCCTGTGTCGGCAGAGGAAGGGAGTCTAGTGGTTAAGGGCGACGGAGCCTGCAATAGTGCTTCTTAGTCAACCACACCACTTCGACCCGAACTTTGCCTGGACGGGCGGTAGAATGGACCCGATTCTATCAATCGGCTGGTCATGTCATGCCCTGCGCATAAACTATTTAGCACAAACATTTGGTATTTAAAAATAAATCTATTCAAAATGTCTAATATATATGTATGAATCTATAAAACTTGCTTAGAGCCCTATGCCCAGAAGGCGGTGGCTCATAGGCCAATCTGGTGATGCTGACCTCCGAATTATGTACGTCTCCAATTGATTGTCATGGGCCGAACCAGCCTGACCTCTAATTTGGTGGATAGTTTTAGCTTTTCACGTCATATTTGCTGCAGTATAACACCCCTCTATCCTCGGTCTTTGCAGCTTGAAGATCCGCTGCAGCATAAGACTGTCCTTGTAAACACTCCATGGTGGGTGAGGAAAAGAGGTGCTGAATCTCTTTCCTTTCGACATGGCTTCCCTACAGCCTGGTTCAAAACGTAGATATATTGAGTCTGACAATTCACCTGATAAAAATACCACCAACCGATCTGAATATTGGCCACGTTTTTTAATTATCAAAGCTTGTGACAAAGAACCCATAAAACTGAAGCTGTTTGCAATCTCCAAAGGCATCACTGGTATATCTGTGGAGAGGTTACAAATGTCACCAAGCTTCGATCAGGTTCTGTCCTTGTGGAATGTGCACAGAGACAGCAATCCATCAATCTTTTGATATTAAAAGAGTTTGTACATATCAAGATTGCTGTCTCTAAACACGGGACACTGAACTCATGCAAGGAAATTGTCCGCGACAGGGCTCGATGCCTTTCCGTCATGACCGAGGATGAAATCGTCAAAGAACTTGCCCAACAATCTGTCACAGCTGTCAAACGATTTTCTGTAAAAAAGGATGGGTTGGTTGTAGAGACCAACAACTATCTCTTCACTTTCGCCCGTTCTAAAATTGCACAATCAAAGCCGGTTACTGTAGCATTGGAGTGGAGGTGTACATCCCCAATCCACTCCGGTGCTGCACCTGCCAAGCGTTTGGACATGGATGTGAAGTGTTCAAACTGCGGTGGGAACCATATGGCCTCGTCTAAATTCTGCCCTGTGTGGAAACGCGAATCACAAATAATGAAGGTAAAAGTCGAACACAATCTCTCCTACCATGAAGCAAAACAGAGGATTGTTGGTGCTACTGCAACCATCTCTGCCATGTCTTATTCTGCTGCTGTCTCTTGTTCTCCTGTCACCACTGCCTCTATCGACTGCCAGACCGATCTGACATGGGTTAAGTCTGTACAGCAACTTCCTACTGTTTCACTCGCTAAACCAGCTGTGACACCTTTGTCTGTGACTCCTCCCAAACGCATAACTGTAAACGATGTTGAGTCTCAGACTTTTAACCAACACCAGAACCAGTTAAACTTTCAAACAGGGAACAGAAATTATTGAAAAAGAAGCAGCAGAAAGAACAGCTGCAAACGCAAAAGGCCACCTCTCCTTTAGAGGTCCATAACTCCTTTGGTCCGCTGGACATGGAGGTAACTCCATCTCCACATGAAACCGATAGCGTGACATTTTCTCCTGGGGAAGCACCACCATGAAACAATCATACAATGGAATTGCAGAGGTCTTAAGAAGAATTTTAATGAAATACAACTTTTAATTCAAGCTTTTAAACCTTCAGCTTTTTGTTTCCTAAAAACACAGATCTATTTGCTATCCGTCAGTACAGCTCTTACCACTCGTTTTACCCTCTTGGTGATAAAGCTACAGGAGGTTCTTCTATCCTGGTGAAGAAAGGCATAATCCATAGCCATTTGTCACTCAACATTACTCTACAAGCTGTTGCTGTCCGTATTACTTTGAACCTATGGAGGAGTACTGATACAAATGATAAGGGAAAATTCCTTGAATTTTATATTTCAAACAATGATTTATGCATCTTCAATTATGGTAATAACACATGTCTGCATCCTGCTACTGGCACATACTCTGCTGTAGATCTTCACTGAAAGATTCAAATATTTTAAGTGAATTTGAATGATCGGTCCATGGTGACCTTTATGGAAGGGACCATTTTCCATCACTACTTACAACTATTAACCCGTCTGACGAAGCACCTTCAAAATGGTGGAACTTTACAAAAGCCAACTGGTCTTTATTTCAAACACTCGTAACTGAAAAACTAAAACCTGAAAGTTTCAGTAATGTTCCTGATCCTATACAACTCATTTCAGATATAATAAATGCTATTGGAGAAGAAAGTATTCCTAAGTCCTCTGCAAACCCTCATATTCGTAAACCATGGTATGATAATAATTGTAAACAAGCTAGAAAAAATAGGAAAAAAGCTGAGAAATATTTCCGCCGACATCCCACTGTCCACAATTTGAATAACATTAAAATCACGGGCGCCATAGCGGGAGGTACATTTAAGCAGAATATACATCAATCCTGGAGGAACTATGTACCCAAAATCAATTCTCGCACACCCATGTCCAAGGTGTGGAACATGATTCAAAAGATTAAGGGCAAAGGATCCAAATCTGGAGTTCACCATCTCAAAGATGGTAATCCACTTTTAACTACTAAATCCGAAATTGCCAACAAACCATTCCTAACCATCAAACTATAATCGTCAATTTCAGAGGTTACAAATACAGCAGGAAAAGAAAAAAGTAAGTTTTAACTCTGATAATGGTGAGGACTACAACGAAACATTTTCACTCCATGACTTATATACTGCTCTAGGGCAATCTCATGACACTGCAGCAGGAGCCGACAATATCCACTATCAGCTCCTGAAAGACTTGCCGGATTCATGTTTGGTAACGTTACTTAATATATTTGATGAAATATGGACAACTGGAAATTTTCCTCCTTCGTGGCACAATCCTATTATTATTCCTATTCCAAAGCCTGGACGGGATCATACAGATCCATCCAATTACCGTCCAATATCATTAACTAGCAGTGTTTGTAAGACCATGGAGAGCATGGTCAACAATCGATTAGTCTGGTACTTGGAGACCAAGAACCTACTCAGTGACATCCAGTGTGGATTCCGAAAAAACAGAAGTACCATTGACCATTTGGTGCGTTTAGAATCATTTATTAAAAATTCCATTATCAATAAACAACATACTTTATCAATCTTTTTTGATCTAGAGAAGGCATATGATACAACGTGGAAACATGGTATTTTAAAAGTTTTGCATGAATTTGGATTGAGGGGCAGATTACCTCAGTTCATATCTCATTTATTAAACAACAGACAATTTCAAGTACGAGTGGGCTCTACCCTGTCTGATCATTTTGATCAAGATCAGGGTGTTCCTCAAGGAGAGTATACTATCAGTCACACTTTACAGCATAAAAAATAATAGTCTCACTGAAGTTTTCAACAATAGCGTTGATGGTTCACTTTTTGTGGACGATTTCAACATTTCTTGTCGTGGTAAGAATATGAATACAATAGAAAGACAGCTACAGCTGTGTCTTAACAAGATTCAAAAGAGGGCCAAAGATAACTGCATCACATTTTCTAAACCCGAAACAAACTGTATTCACTTTTGTCGTATATATAAGTTCCTGGGCCTCATATTTGACCGTCATCTGACATTATTACCACACATCAAATATCTAAAGGCAAAGTACCTGAAGGCTCTCCACTTGTTAAAAGTCGTTTCAAATTCTGAGTGGGGTGAGGATCAGACAACCATCCTTCACTTGTACAGATCGTTTATATGCTCCAAACTAGACTGTGGTTCCATTGTCTATGACAGAGCCTGCAAAAGTAATTTAGAAAAATTTGACTCTATGCACCATCAAGGCCTAAGACTCTCCCCGGACAGTTTGTATGTGGAGGCTGATAAACCTTCACTCGAACAGCGCCACAGTAAACTTTCACTGCAATACATAACTAAATTGCATTCAAATACTAGTAAATCAAATCCAGCCTACAATTGCGTTTTCCACACACAGTTTGAAAACCTGTTTCAAATTGTGTCAAACTTGATTCCACCACTTGGAATCCGAATTCAACCTCCATCACTGCAGCTAAAATAGATCTAAATATTATATCCCGGCAGATGGTGAAGCCAGACGTAGACCTCACTCTAACCCAAATCTTTTGGTTTATCAACAAGTGTACAATCAATTGCGAACTCAATGTGATTCTCACAGGTCCAGTTTTACAGACGGTCCAAGGATGGTGGAAAAGTTGCAAGTGCCACCATCATTGGATCCAGAACTGTCTCCTCAAGAATACCAGATTCTAGTTCAAGTTTTACTGCTGCGGGGAAAGCTATCTTAACAGCTTTGACCTATATCAAACATCAAAACCAATCTAAAGATGTCATCATCTTCTCCGATTTATTGTCATGCCTTCAGGCACTTAAGTCTCCTCAAATCATCCTTTAATCCTAGACATTTTAGAACTTTTCAATGATCTTTCTGCTGGCCAATGCGACATTGTCTTTAGCTGGCTACC